ACCCTAAACCCTAAACCCTAAACCCTAAACCCTAAACCCTAAACCCTAAACCCGAAGCCGATGAGTCGCTTCACTCGCTTCCCTGATGCCAGGACCTTCGAGACGCTGAGCTACCGCGAGGCCTCAACAAAGCCATCCGTCAAGACACGGTTTAGGGTTTAGGGTTTTAGGGTTTTAGGGTTTAGGGTTTTAGGGTTTAGGGTTTAGGTTTTAGGGTTTAGGGTTTAGGGTTTAGGGGCAAAACCTGAGTCCTGCACCGACAGTTCCGAACCCAAAGCACCCCACCTCGCAATCACGAACTCGAGCATGATGTCGGGGACCCACAAAATATCTCACTCCAGGATCTTGGATCCGAATCCAAAGCTCCAAAGCTCAGAATATGGGTAGTTCCGAAAATTAGGGTGCCCTATTCTGGGGTCCTTATAATAAGGATCCTACTATTTAGGGTGCTATATTAGGGTCCCCTATTTTCTGAAACCCCCATATGTGTAGTTCTCTAAACTCGACATCTGTGTCCTGATATGGGTCCTTCAGGGAGTACGTTATATCCCCGGACGCGAATCTGCCGGCCGCACGTGGCGCCTGGCCTGGGATCTCCGACCAAGCTAAGCGGAAGCCAAGGAATCCGGAACCCGGCGTCCCGCAAGCATACGGTAGACCTGAAGACCATCAAACTAGGTTGGTTTTTGGGAAATTTGTATTTTCCTTATATGGGTTTACAAGAGACACTTTATAGAAAAAATGCAGGCGGTTTAGAGGCTAATCCATCAAAGTGCAAAGCCTGGAATCAGCATGGGTTTGTGGTTTCAATACTTACGACAGACCGGCAGTGCAAACCTGAGCAACCTCTGTTCTGGTTACTGTCTTCTGGTAGTCGGGACCAAAACACCATGTTGCCATGGCTCTTCCGCTGGTGGTTTGACCATCGCGATGTTTGGCAACTGCCACGACCACGACCAACAACAGCAGCAGAAACAACAGCAATAATATCGACGACATTGACAATGGCAACAACGCCGCCGCCCGCCCGCGATGTTTCATAAGAAGATGGTCTGTCATGCCGACCAGAGAATCATCATTCTGCTTGAAGCCCATTTTGGATTGTAGTACTCTCACATATGTCATTCTGCTTATAACTTTAAGCCCTAAACCCTGAACCCTAAACCCCTAAACCCTCAACCCTAAAGCCTAAACCCTAAACCCCCTCAACCCTAAACCCTCAACCCTCTTGATCATAATCATTAATCCTAAACCCCTACACCCTAAGCCCTAAACCCTCAACC